ATTATATACAACAATTTACCCGATAAGCACTTACCCGGGTAAGAATCGCTTCACTTACTGAGTAAAACTCTTCGTCTTTATCATTGCTATTATCGGGAAAGATTTTTTACTATTGCCATGTTCATCAGGTAAGGAAATAAGTGTTTAGTAAACAACCCCTAAGTTGGTTTAATTTGCTTTAAGTATATTTACAAAATTTGAACCTTTAACCTTATCTTTTAAGTCAGTTTAGATAAACCAAATGAGCCTCGTCTCTTGCGCGTGTTTGCTTAGCGGGTTTTGATGGATTTTATATACATTTACTACAACAAAAATGGGTTTATAGGACACGATTAATTTTAAGCGTTTTAATAGACCATTTTATAAGATTTAATTTATATGACCAAAAATTAAAGCGTCACATCAACAATTTTATGACACTTTTGAAAAAGTGTCATATAAACATATCTTTTTATAGGACACTTGTTTTTATATGACACATTTTTCAAATAGTGTCCTATAAAATTGCTAATGGGACGTTTTGTGTTAAAAATACATTCTAAAAAACTTGTTAAGACGTCCAAAAGTGTCTTATAAACTTATTACAACGCCTTTAAATAAGACATTTCATTTTTTAATGCTCGAAATGAAGTCCTACAAAGTAGTTTATTAGGACACTTAATTTTTTTTAACATCCTATAAATCCGATTTCGTTGTAATAATTAAAATAACAATTTGCATTGACTTAATTTGTTCATATTCTCTTTTGCAAAATGAAGGTGATTTAATTCCAAGGAAATTTGCAAATTATTAAAGAAGGAATTGTTCCTTCCTTGGATTATTGTGACATAAATCTCGTTCCATTTCAATTCCAATTTTAAATAGTAAATGAAACACATTTAAATCACATTCAATCTATTTCAAATCACTCAAATTTCAATTATTTTAACATATTATACTTTCCAAAAAAAAAAAAAACATTTTGGGGCCGCATGTCCCTTAATGCTACCTCTTGTATAACCTTATGAATAAATAATATCAACCATGCATCAAAGTCATATTCACATTCATCTTGGATTCTTATTGCAATAAATATAAAAAAGTATAAGTTGATGTAAGATTTTTCTCGTAAAAGTTTTGTTTCTAAACAATTAGCACGTCATTATAATGTAAAGTAACATCCAAATAGTAAGAAAACAACAGAACGGACAATAAAGTTGGTTAGAAAGTATGGATAGAATATTGGTGTGATAACCGGTTATAAAATTCGGGGTTGTTTTTGAAAAATGATGGTAAGTTGAGGAGTTAAATTTTATATGTATGCTTAAATGTTTTTAAGAGTTCCACCGCCTTAATTGTTTAATTGGTTTTAAGATGAGATATTCTTAATATCTCATGAGTATTGTTAAAAAGTTGGTGAGAAAGTTTTCTCTATGTGTGTGTTTTTTGGTATGAAGAAAACAGAACCCAAAGGGAGATTAGAAGAAGAAGCTGATTCTATGATTAAACTGAATACTTGTTGTTTCAATCTTAATCTCTTGTGATTTATAAGGTGAGTTATTTACATACTTTTGTTATTTGGTAATTGGAATTAGAACCGTATGGTTCTTTATATGGAGATGTTTATAAAATTGTTTTTTTGATGCTATAATTGGCATAATTGTGGGATTTTAATATTTTATATCTTGTGAATGGAATAAGGGTGGCATATCAAGCAGATGTGTATACCAGGATAAGGGTGGCATAATCATTGAGACATAAAATCTGGGTTTTTTGGATCAAAATGTTCTTTGTTATCGCATCCTTATGATGCGATGACTTGGAGTTGTCGCATCATTGTGATGCGATGACTTAAAGTTGTCACATTCTATTAATGTGATAAATAGTGGTTATCACACCTATAAGATGCGAGGTGTGAGTTTGTCGCATCCTTGTGATGCGACAAGTTGACTTATTGCACCTGTGTAATGTGACAAGTTGGGTTTATCGCACTAGTGTGATGCGATGAGATGAGGTCCTTACACCAGTGTGTTGCGAGGAGATTAGGTTGTCTCACTCATGTGATGCGAGTGGTGTGGCGGAATCGTAAGTGTTCACATAGTAGACACAAAGTCCCCACAGTGGCGGTGCAAGTGCACACCAACACTATGATCGCTTCAAGTAATAAAGTGGTATAATACCAAGATCATTTCTACAGGGACTTGACTTACTGAGAATCAGAGAGTTTCATGAACTTCTTGAGCATGCTTCGGTTTGAGAATAAAAGTTGAGTTTTGATGGTGCAAAGCTTTAAAATATGAAATAAACCTTTAAAATTAAAAGATGGGTATGGGTGTAAGTATCCCTTAAGAAGATTTCAGGAACAGTTTGGTCAGAAACTCATGGGACTTTTATAAAAACTCCGATCTCTCGAAAGTGAATTCTTATATACTGTGCCCACAGAGTGCCCACAAAGCATTCAGTTTTATCAATCTTAGACTTGTCGAATTAGCTAATAGATAAAAATATATCTGGTTCCACTAGCCTGAAGATTTATACTCAAATCTCTTTGTAGTATAAACTCGACTAATATATGAACATTAGCTAAAAACATGCAGAATCCGCATCTCTACGTGATTATCAAAGACTCTCTCAAATCTTTGTGCATCATCTAAGTCCTATTTCAGATCCGCCCATCTTTGGATCAATGATCTAATATTAACACTTCAAAGTAATCAGCTTATCTGTGTTGAGCTTAAGTCCCGACTTAAATGACCAAGCTTAAGAATTAATAAAATTGGCAACACCCAAGTATGCCTTCAAGTTCTTAAGTTTGACTCACACCCACACCCAAAGGGGTGATTAGCTCATAATAAAATTATAAAACATAAAGAAAACAGAAGAAGAAAAATGCATAAGAAATACTTGAACTGAAATTTTACTTAAATTGTTGCCCACAGGGAGTATACAATGCACAATAGCGAGAATTAAAGACTAAGTACGAAAATAAAATTAAATGCGAAAATTAAACTTGTCTACTGCCCTAGAACTTTAGAGAGAATGCTCCAAGGTTGCTTGGCTGAATTGTTGATGGATTGATGTCTTCCAAATGAGAGAAAAGCTTCAATWTATAGTGAAAAAGTGAGAACCGGACAAACTCTTCGCCCAAAGGAAGAAAGTCTTCATTGACTAGAGGGTAAAGACCCTCCCATCACTTCTTGTCTACTTTCCAGGCCTTGTCACCTTTTTTGGAAGGTTAAAAAAGGTAAAGTTACCTAACCCTTAAATTAAGGAAAAGGTAATGAAGGTCTTTTCATTAAAATAATGGTAGAGTTACTTTTAAAACATTTTTTAATCCAACAAGGCTCATTCTTCTAAATAATTCAAGAATTTCGGATCTGACTTCAAAATTAAATCCCTTTAATACCCAGGAGAGCCAGTATTTGAATTTTGTCTAAATCCGTCTTGAGAAAAATATGCCATAGGAAGAATGTGAGCAGAAAGTGGGCATTATACCAACAACAATGGGTTTTTAGAAAATAATCAAATTCTTGACTTTTCATCAACTCTTAACATATTTTGGGCCAAAAATACAGGATAGGAGCAAAATGAGTACAAAAGACACAGTAAAATAGCGGTATTGAATAACAAATAACTCTCACAAATTAAGAATTATCAGCGAGAAAGTAATATATTCATCTCTATTATGCGATAAGTTTACTTAGAATGTGTTTATTAAGTTATTTGGCTATTTTGATGCGATAAATGAAGTTTGTTTTATGAAAGTATTGTTTTTTTGTTACTGATACAAATATGAGTTCATAAACGTGATTTGGTGATTATTCGCCCTGTAATAGCATCAAAGTGATTTCTCACTAGACCTCAAGGTCTAACCCTCATTTTGGTGTTTTGGAAAAATGTGCATTACAGGTCGGACTCAACTAGTGGATAAGGGAAAAGAGAAAATGTGAAGAATTATACTTGTTTGCATGGAATATTAAGGATATCATGTTATCTTTTGTATTGAGAACCTGTTAAATCACAAATTTTGTAAAGAAATTTTGTGGAAAAATTTGTAGCTATTTTGTAAGGTAGCTTTTGTAGACATTGGGACTGAATGTATAAACTATATTTCTTGATATATGGAAGTATATGTTTATATGCAAATGTGATCTTGTGGTGTTACAAGTTTGGTATTAGAGCCTGAGTTTAAGAGATTTAGGTTTCCAGCATGATGCCTAGAATTAAATTGTATTATTTGCATTTTAAAGGTCCCTGACATATATAGAACCTTTGGAATAAATATGATGGGTTAAAATAAGGATATGTAAGGTAAATTCAAAGTACAACTGGCCAATATAATTATGAATTTACAGGTACATGTGTGTACTTGGATACCTTATTATATTTGAAAATATGATTATGTGAATATTAAAATTTTAAAATTTACAGATGGCAAGTCATTTACGAACGTCTGAAAGGATCGCCCTCATCAACCCGGACGAGAGGGAGAGTTCACCGTAAAACAATCCTATGAATCTTATAGCAGGCAGAGGGAGAGGTCGAGGCAGGGGCCGTGGAAGGGGACGTGGGAGAGGAAGGAACAATCAACCTAAAGTTCATCCAGATCAGGGTGAATCAATTCAGGAGAATGTAAATCAAGAACCAATACAATATCCTGAGTATGTTACTCGGGACATGTTATTAGAGGAAAGGAGCAAGCTGAGAAATACTCTGACATCTATTATGGGAGTAGGAGCCAGGGTAGATACAGAAAGGTTGAAATAAATCCCCAAGTCTAATACACAAAACACAAGAGGGGGCGATATCAAAATGTTTTTAACCTGTAAACTCCCAACATTCTCTGGAGAAAGAGATATGGTGAAGATAATGTGTTGGTTGAGGGAGATAGAATCTGTATTCAATACTAGTAAGTGTTCTTATAAGGATAAAGTCAGATTTGTTGTGTCAATGTTGAAGTCTAATGCATTGTACTAGTGGGATATTGAATATCATTAACAAGACCCAATGTTTTGCAAACAATGTCTTGGATGGAATTTGTTGACCGATTGAGGGAACAGTTCTATCCAAAAGTAGGCGTCAGACAACTAGAAGAAGAATTCTTAAAGTTAGATCAAGGTAATCAAACGGTAAGGGAGTACACTGAGAAATTTATCGAACACTCCTGATTTGCAGAATATTACATTTCGTCAGAATCTCGTAAAGTCGAGAGGTATATCTGGGGATTAAAGCCTTCGATACGAGAATTTGTAATTGCAATGAATCCTTCAACTTTTCCACTGGCGGTTGATGTGGCCAAAACAACAAAAAGGAAAAAGAACCGAAAGAGAGAGGAGAAGGTGATTGAGAAAATGAAATAGGAAAGGTCTCAGACTGAATATAGAAGACCAAAATTTGTAAAGAAAGGAAATCGTGCTGCCCAACGATTTAGTGAAAGACCCTGCCAAAGACGTCATCGTGTTCATCAGGGTGATTGTAATTTTGAACAGAGAAAGTGCTATAGATGTGGGGAGCCGGGGCACTTGTCTAGAAATTGTCGGATTCCTCAACGATGTTTTCATTGTAATTCTCCTGGCCATATTAAGTCAGATTGTCCCCATTTAAGGGCTCCAAGATTGACTCTAGGTGAAAATACTCCGAGTACGTGTAGGGGAGTCAACATCCGAATAGGTGAATGGGATAGGGCGAGGGGTCGATCTTTTCAGACGACAAAGGAAGAGGCAGAGGAAACCCCCGATGTGGTAACAAATACATTTCTTATCAACTCTATACATGTCAAGGTGTTATTTGGTTCTCGTTCAAATTATTCATTTGTATCACCTTTATTTACGGGATGTTTATACGTGAATTCTGTGCCTCTTGACTATATTTTCGTAATTGATTTCGCTAATAATAGTCAAGTATCTATTACCCGTGCTTTTGATAAATGTTAAATTGAGATTGAGGGATGTGGGTTACCGTTTTATTTGTTCCCAATGCCAATGAGAGAGTTTGATGTTGTGGTGGGCATAGATTGGTTAGCAGAAAATCAGACCAGCATTGTTTGCAATAAAAAAATGATCAGTATTGATTTATTGGAAAATGGTTGATTTTGATTTTTGGTAATCGGCAGGATCATCACAACAGCCTGATATCTATCATGAAAGCCTGAAAATGTGTTCAAAAAGCTGTCAAGGATTTCTAGCTTATGTAGTCGATTCAAAGAAAGAAATTCTTGTTGTCTGTGAGTATCCCGAGGTGTTTCCGGAAGATTTGACTAGTTTACCACCTGATCGATTCATGGAGTTTATAATTGATTTAATGCATGGGGTAGCACCAGTAGCCAGGGCTCCATATCGTCTGGCACCTTCTGAATTAAAAGAATTAATGATCCAATTAAAAGAATTTGCTTGATAAAGGCTTCATCAGACCAAGTACTTCTCCTTGTGGTGCTCCGATATTGTTTGTTAAAAAGATAGATGGAACAATGAAGACGTGTATCGATTATCGAGAACTAAATAAGTTGACGATAAAGAATGAGTATCCTTTACCAATAGTAGATGATTTATTTGATTAACTAGTTGGAGAAAATAATTTCTCCAAGATCGATTTACGGTCAAAGTATCATCAACTGAAAGTCAGAGATGAAGATATTATCAAAACAGTGTTCCGAACCAAATATAGACATCATGAGTTTTTGGCCATGCCGTTCGGTCTAACAAATGCTCCAGCGGTCTTCATAGATTTAATGAACTGGGTATCATCAACTGAAAGTCAGAGATGAAGATATTGTCAAAACAGTGTTCCAAACCAGATACAGACATCATGCCGTTCGGTCTAACAAATGCTCCAGCGGCCTTCATGGATTTAATGAACTGGGTATGTAACGAATATATCTTGATAAATTTATTATTGTATTTATCGACGATGTTTTTATATACTTAAGATCAGAAGTGGAGCATAGCATCTTCGTTTAATTCTCGAACTTTTGAAGAAAAAGAAATTGTATCATACGTTTTCCAACTGTGAGTATTGGATGAGGGAAGTTTATTGTTTCTGAGGCACGAGTAAGAGTAGATCCTACAAAGATTGAAACTATTGAGAAATGAGAAGTACTGAGAACCCCCAGCGAAATTCGTAGTTTCTTGGATCTGATGGAGTATTATCGGAAATTTATACAAGATTTCTGGATGAGAAGGTAACGGTTTTTAACGAATTCATTTTTTTTTTTAAAATTAAGTAATTTTTGTGTTAAAAAATTATGATATGAACTTTAAAACGATTAATTAAATGAGAGGCCTTTATAAAATATTTTAAAATAGATGAAGATATATTAAAATATAATTGATGAAAAGGCTTTTTAAAACGTTTTTGCATTGGAGTATATTTGTAAAGATAGTTTTTTGTTAAACTATTTTAGTGAAAAACTGATGTATGACAAAAATAAAAGGCCATTAAAACCTTAAATATATTTGATGTTTACATATACATATACATATACATATATATATAGAGAGAGAGAGAGAGAGAGAAAGATGAGTTATTATGTAATTCTTTATATTTGTACAACCAATACAATTCAATATCAATCGTCCATTTAATTTTGACGAATATATGATTTCATAAAAGTTTTGATAGTTTTTTAGTATAAACTATTGATCATAATTAATAAGTCATAGTCTTCTTGCATAAATATTTAAATCATAATAAATGAACTCTTATCATTTTCGTAAACATCTCAATTAATTGAATTGTATTAGTTATACAAATATAATGAATTGCATTCAAAACGATATATATATATATATATAATTAATAAGTATTTGAAATATGTGTAGAAGACTTAGATGTAGCAGCATTATTTGGTTTGACTCGTTGAATTGTATGGCTCTACTAACCTGCTCCCTTGGTAGGGGTGGCTCTTCAAGATCCCAATAGATTTCCCCAAACGTACCATTTGCCGAAAGTACCTTTCTTTTTAGGGTTTTCCACCCTTTTTAATTTGGGAAAACCTGCCATTACAAAGTACATCTTTTTAGGGTTTTGTGTGTCTCTTTCCAATAGATTTATATTACAAATTTGGCCCATGGAATTATCATTCACTCAACTCTCATTCCTTTTTTGAATCAATAATATTACATTTTTGTTATTCTGATTTAACTATTATAGAAAAGTGAGGTAATTCAGGGGTCTTCTGGTCTATTATCATATCTTTATTTTTTAATTAAAATTTAAATAAATATATTACTTTATTATTATAATTATTATACAATATATTATATATATATATATATATATATATATATACATATATGGGACGGATCAAATGCAAATTAAGTCATTTGCACGAAATGTATAAACCGTTAATTTCATTGTTTAATTTAATAAAATTGTTTAATATGATGAAATTGTTTCATGTATTTCTCATTTTCATAAAATTTGTTTTTTGAAATTAATATAAGGAACATGATAAGTATATAATTAACGCTCTGTACAATAAAAATGACAAATGAACCCTCATAATTAAAAGAAGAAAAAAAAGGAAAAAATATAATTTGCTTGAATGAGGTTTGTACAAATGGTTTGGTTTGCATTTGATCCCTATCCACACACACACACACACACACACATATATATATATATATATATATGTGTGTGTGTGTGTGTGTGTGTGGGGAGGGGGGGGGAATCTTTTGTTAACCAAAAATATGATGTTAATTTTATAAACTTATTGTACCAATAATATTAATTTTTTAATAGAGGTTACTTCGAATGTTTGATTTTATGATAAAGGGTAAATAGGTAATTTTTATATGGAAGTTACTTTTTTGGTATTTAATGAGATGTTACAAATTTCTATGTGTAAGTTATTTTTATGGTATTTAATGATGTTCATAGGTGTTCATAAGAATATGTTCATAACATAGGAATTCATAAGAATGCGCTCATATGTGTTCATAAGAATGTTCAGGGCCGTCCTTGGGCCTGTTAAATTTGCCATTCAGAACAGGGCCCCCAACATTTTGGGGCCCAAATTTCACAGCCCATCTATGATATACTTGTATTCGGCCAAAATTTTTACAGCGCGGCTAAGGTTTCACCGTTTCACGACCGATTTGGCGATTTCATACCTGGACGCTGGACAGACGCCTCGTGCCCTTGTCGCCTCGATCTCCCCTCTCCTCTTTGTTCGTCGGTGATTGTCGATTGAATTCTTCAAAGATGGCTAATGATTCGATTTCATATATGCAACGACAACTAGAACAACGGTCAGATTTTAGATTATTTTTGTTAAGTATAAATACACGTTTGGTCGATTTGTTGATTACTCATTATCTGATTACTATTACTATTCTTAAATCTCATAATCTCAACGATTTGGTCGATTACTTGATTGTTTTTTGCTGATTTCATCTGTCATCTGTGTTAGTCTTGGTCACTTGGTAACTTGGTTGGACTGTTGGTGAGTGAGTAGGTGGTCGATTTTAACCTAATTTTTAAATCATAAAGGTGAGATAAAGTATCCTCCTAAGTTCTTTGTCAGTATACTCATTACACAGAACTCTATGATTAATTGATTATGATTTATTGATTTATGTCTGTATACACAAATTCAGTTCTTTGTCTATCAATCTGTCATGACTGTTTGGAATAATGGAATTGCATAAGATTTAGGTTAATAGGTTCCTATTTTCTCTTTTCTACCTGTCAAATTTTCTTAGTTAATAGTTTATTCAATTATTTGATTTCTTCATGTGGTTCCATCTCTTTTCAGTCCTCTGCTACTGTGCTATAGTGTTACTAACTTACTGTGTTACCTAACCTTTGCCTCCATTCGCCTTATTTCTTTAATTTATATTTAGCCATTTAGGCATTTAGCCTTTTATTGCTTGTTCACTGTTCAAAATCTTAAGTGTAAGAAAATTGAAAACTTGTTCACTTGTTTTAGGTTCATCTTCTTATTTGTTTAGGTTTGGTTCAAATTGTTCAAGCTTCAGTCTTCAGATTGTTTAGGTTTTAGGTTCAAATGATCAAAACTTATTTCTTATTTTTGAATTTATGTTAATATGTACATGTGTTTATCTCTTGCAGTGCAATGAAAATCTTTTGGGACTTGGGAGTTGGGACTTGGGAGGACTAAGCATCAATAGCCAACAGTAGTACTATCATTCTCACTCAGGTTGTTTTGTTCCTTATCTTTTTTCTTTTACTTATTTCAGTTCCAATATGTCTTCTAGGGATAGAAAATACGATTCTGGATGTCAAAAATGTAAAAAAAGAAAAGAATTGAAGAGATAAATCAATCTCAAAAGGGATCTCTTGATAAATTTGTCATGAAAGAAGGTCTGTCTTCTCTTGACAATGAACATATTGATATTAATTTGGATGATGCTTGTGTTGATGCAAATGAAAATCCTAACATGGTGAATTTAGTTGGCACTCTAAATGACTCTCATGAGGATTTGGCTACAAATGTTGATACTAATAATACTTCTAAATATGTTCCTGATGTTATTGCTAATAATGCTTCTAATGATGTTCCTGATGTTAATGCTTATAATGCTTCTAATGATGTTCCTGATGCTACTGATGGTGATGATGCTACTAATGTTGACGATGTTTTTGTTCATTTTGATATATTTGATCCAAGAAATTGGGATGCATTAGATTCTAAAATGATTGATGTGTTAGTTGCTAAGGGTCCTAAAAGAGATTTGTCTGTTCAGAATGGTCCTAAAGATAAATTGTCTAAACGTTTTTCTGCCACATGGTATACTAGAATTTTATCAAATGGGGAGAAATGTGATAGAGATTGGCTTGTATATTCAGTAGAGCTTGATAAGGTATTTTGTTTTTGTTGTAAAAAATCTTTAAATAAAGTTATATAAAAGGTCAGTTAACAAATCATGGATTTAGGGATTGGTCACACTTTAGCACTAGACTTAAGGAGCATGAAACAAGTGTAGATCATGTAATGAATATGCAAACTTGGTATGATTTGCGGCTAAGACTTCAAAAGAATCAAACCATTGACAAAGTTGTTCAAACCCAAATAGAAAAAGAAAAAAATCATTGGAAAAAAGTTTTGGTAAGAGTTGTTTCTATTGTAAATTTCTTGCAAAACATAATCTTGCATTTCGTGGAAGTAAAGCAAAATTGTATGTAGCAATGGTAACTTTTTGGGCTTGATTGAGATGTTGGCTGAATTTGACCCAATTATTTAGGATCATGTTCAACGTATTACAAATAATGATTTACATGTTTATTATCTTGGTCCTAGAATTCAAAAGGAGTTGATAACTTTGCTTTCTAGGAGACTTAAATGTGAAATTATTAATAAAGTAAAAGAGACAGTATTTTTCTGTTATCCTTGATTGCACTCCCGATACAAGTCATCAAGAACAAATGTCCTT